ATTTTACAAATCTCCACAGGTGCAACAAAGGTTGAGAACAACTAAAACTAGAGATAGGAATTTTCATCGTTTGACTCCATAGCCCAAATCCTTCATGAATCCCCACCAGCCCCCTCCCCCCCAACACACATCCACTTGCTTCAATGATTTCTGGACTCTGACAGTTACATGAAGATCTGAGGGGCTTTCTAGGAAATGTCATACTACAGAATATATGTAATCACATTACTGGTTCCTTTCCCTGTTCTATTTTCAAAATAAACAGCATTTTCAAACTTCTTGGTTCTAGAACCTCCTTACACACTTAAAAATTACTGAGGACCCCAAAAAGTTGTTGTTTCTATGGATTTATGTTTACTGATACCATACTAGAAATGAGAATGAAGACATTTTATAAGTATTATTTCATTAAATAATGATAAACTCACTACATGTAAGGCAAATAAAAGTTTAAATAAAAATAACATTTTCCCCCAAACCAAATTAAAATTTTTTTTAAACTCAACAATTTTTTTTTAAAAAAAGATTTATTTATTTATACAAGCACTGGGTACAGTGAGAAGCGTGGGAGGGTGAGAGGATTTACCAGAGCCAGAGTGGGGAACAGAACAGGCAGACTGGCGAAATACACTGCTGAGGGGAGCAGCGGGCGCGGCAGGAGAGGTCTATGTGCCATGGGGGACCCTCGCCGTTGGCCAGGGATCGAACCATCGAACCAGCGCTACAGAGGCCACAGGCAGCTTCGCAGCCCAGCACTCAATCGCTGTGTCACCAGGGGAGGCCCCTCAAATTAAAATATTTAATAAAGGGGCCTCCCCGGTGGCGCAGCGGTTGAGCGCTGGGTTGTGAAGCTGCCCGCGGCCTCTGCGGCCCCGGTTCGATCCCCGGCTGCTCCCCAGCCACTGGAGGAGGGTCCCACATGGCGCGCAGATCTCTCCTGCCATGCCCGCTGCTCCCCTCAGCAGTGTACTTCGGTCCTTCTGCCTGCTCTGCTCCCCGCTCTGGCTCTGGTGAATTCTCTCACCCTCCCGTGCTTCTGACTGTACCCAGTGCTTGTATAAATAAATAAATAAATAAATAAAATCTTTAAAAAAAAATAAATAAAATATTTAATAAAAAGAATAGCAGTGCTGGGCCTCCATGGTGGCGCAGAGGTTAAAGAGAGCGCTATCAAGCTATCCCCAGCCACTACAGCACCAATTCGTTCCCCAGCCAGCCAGGGAGCAACCCACATGCTCCAGCAGACCTCTCCTGTCTCGCCCACTGCTCCCCTCAGCAGTGTATTTCAATTGATCCACCTGTTCTGCTCCCCACTCCCTCTAGTGAATCCTCTCACCCCCAGCACCTGTGGTCTACATCCCAGTTCTTGTATGCATAAAATAAATAAAGCTTAAAAAAAAAGAATAGCAGTGCTTTGCATTTTTGCAAAACTCATTTAGTAGGGTCTGGCTTAATAGAAAATAGCTAGATTGTTTTATCTGCTTCTGTATCCATCTGTTTTAATTATCACACATCATGTAGACTTCAGAAAAGTCTACTGTTCATTCCAAGAAGGCACAAGAGTGAAAACACAACGTCTTAGTATTAATATAAATATGTGGAACCCTGTGTCTTGGATTCCCCAGGGTCCCAGGAAACACTTTGAGAACCACTGTTGTGTAATATTCTACCACTCAAAGACATTTAAGTTGTTTGTAGAAGCATTTATTCAGTGACTAAATTATATTTTGGGCACAGAATTAGAACTCATTCACCTAGCAGTGCAGCCAGCAAAAATAATTTATTGAGTATTTGCCATGGCCTCTGTGTCCTACTTATTCTCTTACCTCAAATGAACATCCTCACTAACATTATAACGTGGAAATGTAAACCTTTCCTAACAATCAGAGTTTAAGACAATGCTATTTCTCTATTCATATTAGGTGACAGCAGCATTTGTTCTATTTTAGGCCCTGTCACATGTAAGTGGAGAACATACAAGCACAGTTCAATCTTCTAAAATACTAAGCTGCTGGTAGATATCATTTATCTTAAGGCTCAGAACATCAACCCCTTAAAAGAAAAGCTTTTCTTCATGGACCAGATCATTTTTCACCTATCATTAAATCATCATGGATTCTGTTAGCACAAAATCCCCATTTAAAGTCCTACAGTACCACTAGACTTTTTCATGACATTTCTCAACTCTATCTTTTCTATCTTATTTCTGTTATTAGAAATTACTTAGGGCTGCTCTGGTAGCACAGGCGGTTGAGCGCAGTCCTGTGAAGCCATCCACAGCCTCTGCTGTGCTGGTTCGATCCCCACCGGCAGGGGAGATACCCAGATGGAACAGCAGACCTCTCCTGTCTCGCCTGCTGCTCCCCTCAGCAGTGTATTTTGGTCGGTCTGCCTGTTCTGTTCCCTGTTCTGTCTCTGGTGAGTCCTCTTACCCTCCTGCACACCTGGCTATACCATGGTTCTTGTATAAATAAATCTTTATTATTTTTTTTTTTTTAAGATTTATTTTGTTTTATTTATTTATTTATTTATTTATTTATGCAAGCACTGGGTACAGTCAGAAGAGCGGGAGCGTGAGAGAATTCACCAGAGCCAGAGCGGGGAGCAGAGCAGGCAGAAGGACCGAAGTACACTGCTGAGGGGAGCAGCGGGCGGCAGGAGAGGTCCGCGCGCCATGTGGGACCCTCCTCCTGTGGCCGGGGAGCAGCCGGGGATCGAACTGGCGCCGTAGAGGCCGCGGGCAGCTTCGCAACCCAGCGCTCAACCGCTGCGCCACCAGGGAGGCCCTATAAATAAATCTTTAAAAAACAATTCGATTAAAAAAAAAAAAAGAAATTACTTAAAGTAAAAGATCACATTTTTACATACCCCATGAACCCAGTCAGTTCAGAGCATTTATCAGGTATTTAACATATGGTTGGCATAAGTGAATATACTTCTGACTTCTCAGAATGCTGAAATTATTTTAAAGAAATATATTTTAAAGAAATGTAATATAAAAATAGCATATATTCCATTTATAGCAATCTCTGCGTATAAATCACCGAAATTAAATACTCGTTTTCTATAGCTAAATACCTGTCACAAAATTTACTCAGGTTTTGCTATTCAAGTAACTATTAGGGAAAAATAAACCCTTGACTTTGTTTTTAAAGATTTATTTTTTATTTATATAATAGCTGGGGTATAGGCCAGAGATGTGGGAGGGTGAGAGGATTCATCACCAGAGACAGAGTGGGGAGCAGAACAGGTAGACAGACCGAAAGCACTGCTGAGGGGAGCAGCAGGCACGACAGGAGAGGTCTGCCATGCCATGTAGGAATCTCCCTAGCTGGCCGGGAATCGAACCAGTGCTGCAGATGCTGTGGATAGCTTTACTGCGCTGTGCTCAACCTGCCGCGCCACCAGGGAGGCCCTAAACCTTAATTCTTTTAACTGAGGTAACAATGGTTTAAGTTACAGATATATTTTTGAGGACATGCTGGCATATTAGTTGTGAACATTAGAACTATGTTCAACCCACTGGTTTTTCAACTGCAGGATAAAAATCTACTAGGGGGCCTCCCCGGTGGCACTGTGAAGCTGTGTGCAGCCTCAGCAGTGCAGGTTCTATTCCCGGCCAGCCAAGGAGATACCCACATGGCTGGCAGACCTCTCCTGCCTCGCCCGCTGCTCCCCTCAGCATTGTACTTCGGCCTGTCTGCCTGTTCTGCTCCCTGCTCTTTCTCTGGTGAATCCTTTCACCCTCCTGTGCGTGCCTCTGACCTGTACCCCAGTTATTGTATAAAAAACAAAGAAATCTTGGGCCTCCACGGTGGCGCAGCGGTTGAGCACTGGGTTGTGAAGCTGCCCGCAGCCTCTGCAGCGCCGGTTCGATCCCCAGCTGCTCCCCAGCCACCGGAGGAGGGTCCCACATGGCGCGCAGACCTCTCCTGCCGCACGCTGCTCCCCTCAGCAGTGTACTTCAGTCCTTCTGCCTGTTCTGCTCCCCGTTCTGGCTCTGGTGGATTCTCTCACCCTCCCGTGCTTCTGACTGTACCCAGTGCTTGTATAAATAAAATAAATAAATCTTAAAAAAAAAAAACAAAACAAAGAAATCTTTTTAAAAAATCTACTTAGGACTTAGTCTAGCAAACCTTTTTTTTGTATATTTAAAAAAGATCGAGTTTTAAAATTTTGACGTTTACTCTAAAACACTGATATAACTACTAAAAATGTTAGTCATATATATTGATAAGTTACTACCTCAACTCCATTTTGGAACAAAATGGTTATAAAATAAAAAAACTTTCAAATTATCAAAAATAACTGTATATGTAGAATTTCAAGATTGTTGGATCACATCTAAAGCATTCAATTCTGACTGTGACCATTAGAGGAGCCAACAAATCCTAAAGATACTGGATGATATTATAGAGTCTGCAAGTCATTTTCTATGCTGAATAGTTACCTCCATGTATTTAAAAAGTTCTCATATAGAAAAGGGAGTTTGTTTCCTGTAACTCTGTAGAAGTAATAGCTAGGTATGATGTAATTCAAATTAAGGGAATTTTCTAGTAAGTTTCTGTCTCCAGTAATGGAATATGTTGTCTTGTGAGGTGGTATGCTTTCACTGAATGTGTTTCAGCTAAATTATATAGTTATGCATCAGACAGAGTATTAAAGGGACAGCTCATTGGGAAGGACCTCACGGTATGTAAGTTCCTTTACAATTTTATAATGTTAAATGTAATTCAAACCCATAAACATAATCTTAATATAACCTTAAATATAATTTTAAAATATACTAAGGTTGTAGTACAATTTCATATTTTTAAGGAAATGTTACCATCTATTTAAAAGGTAACTTAAATTTTTACAAGATTTTGAAGATTAAACAAAAATCTCACAGTATAGAAAATACAAATCAAAGGGTACTGATATATTCATTCTTAGATATTAATAGTATACTGTGAGCCACAAATAACAGCTCTATATTAAAGCCTGCTTGCAAAACTTACCAGTATTCTGCTGGATTCCCCACCGCACTCTCATCCTGAACTGTCGGGCACCACTTTGCTGGAGTCTTCTATTTAGTCTTGGAAAATTCTGCTTCTTTCCTTCCTTTCGATTCAATTTGATGATATCATCTGTGATAGAAATGCCATAACTTGACTTAATGACTCAAGTATTCATATGTTCTAGTTATATACCTAGATATAGACATACTAGATAAATTTACTGTATTCCTAATTTTTTTTCTATTTTCAAAGCACTTCCATAAGAGGGTAATAATGATAAAAGTTTAAATCAATCAATATACTTGGAGCACTGAAGAAAGGTTTTGTGGGGAAAGGTCAAATCATTACCCAAAGCAGATCTACCAATTAATGAAGTGTTATTTATAGTATTTCTTTCCCTGATAAATGTAATTTAGCAAAAACCTGTTTACAGGGCCTCCCTGGTGGAGCAGCAGTTGAGCGCTGGGTTGCGAGGCTGCCTGCAGCCTCTGCAGCGCCAGTTAGATGCCAGTTAGATCCCCGGCTGCTCCCCAGCTGCTCCCCAGCCACTGGAGGAGGGTCCCGCATGGTGTGCAGACCTCTCCTGCGGCCCGCTGCTCCCCTCAGCAGTGTGCTTCAGTCCTTCTACCTGCTCTGCTCCCTGCTCTGGCTGTAGTGAGTTCTCTCACCCACCCTCCCTTCTGACTGTACCCAGTGCTTGTATAAACAAACAAACAAACAAACAAATAAATAAAAAACGTGTTTACAAAAGTTACTTACTCTTACTTTCCACAATTACAGCCACTTTTTAAAGATAACCACCTTTCAGTAAAACCATAGTCAAAACTAAAACATTTTAAGTTCATCTCAATTCAGAAAATATTTATTAAGCATAATAAGTATATTTGTATGTATAATAAATATATGTGGTAATCTGTATTGGAACAGAAGCAAAAATAAAATATGATCCCTGTTCTAAGTTTAAAATTACTGATGAATATAGATATGTAAATAATACAAGATTAAAGAAATACCATAATAAAGGCACAGTACAAAAAATGTGTTATTGGTTCTCCACTCCCCTACCAAAGTAGTTCATGGTTACTTTATTTTTCCCTCTTCACTGATCTCTCTTACTCTCATTAGTTCCAAAAACACTTTCAGATTTTTCCAAGATAATTCACAAATATCACATTACTCTCATACTGCAAGAGAACAATGTAAAGATTAGGAAACTATTGATATATGTACTTCAAACTGCTATTTCTGTCTATTAAAAGGAGGTTATTATTAGGAGCCAAAAACACTCATTTAAAAAATATCCAAAGTGGCCTCCCCAGTGGTGCAGGGGGTTGAGCACAATGCTATGAAGCTGTCCACAGCCTCTGCAGCATGGGTTCGATTCCCGGCTGGCCAGGGAGATTCCCACATGGCGTGGCAGACCTCTCCTATCATGCCCACAGCTCCCCTCAGCAGTGTATTTCGGTCCTTCTGCCTGTTCTGCTCCCTGCTCTATCTCTGGTGAATTCTCTTACCCTCCCGCGCCTCTGGCTTGTACCCCAGTGCTTCTATAAATAAATAAATCTTAAAAAAAAAAAAATCCAAAATGCCAGCATATTTGAAATACTTTGCTACTTTTAATTTTTAGTTATGTTTATAATCTGTAATCTACACTGTAGAAGGACCAAGAGGTCATTCCCAGTGAGATGACCTTTATAAAACTTGGTTAGTCAAAATGTACTTTTTTTTTAATGCTCCCGAGACTATAAATTTTGGTGTATTCTCATGGCTCTGCCTTGAGATTTCAGACTTCTGGTGAAGAATAAGTAGCACCTTTTTAAAGGATAGTAGTGCCAGCTCCAATATCAATTTTTGATGATAAAGCAAAAAATTCAATATGGTCAACAACTTCTTAGTAAAATTTCACTAAACTAACTTCCATTATTTTTTTTCTCAAACAGCTCCAAACACAAATATTCTAACAATTGTATCAATATAATCAGTCTTTTCTGAAGTTAGTGGAAGAAATGTAGATTAAAGGGATCCTTTTTATATTACTATTCTACGGTACCCATCTGTATTCTTCAAGACTCTTAATCAAATTCAAACAGGTAGTCATGTGATGTAATTCAATCCTTCAACTACAAAAGGGTTTATCAGAGTTAAGGTCACTAAAAAAAAAGTGCTTTTTTCCCTTTAAAAAAAGGGTTCAGATACATGAACACCCTAAATTTGCAAAGAGCAGAAAGGAAATAGAAATACTACTACACTGGGGAGCAATGGAAAAAAAAACTTATTTTGACTAACCAGATTTTATGAGAGAACAACAGATTATAAACATAACTAAAAATTAAAAGTAGCAAAGCATATCAAATATAAATTGTTTTATATTTAAACATTTTATTAGCTAAATCCTCAAATTAAATGAAGGATTCTTCCAATCTAAAAGAAGAATGTGGCTTCCTCCCACTTTGGGTAATGCGTAGATATCAAAAGAAAAAACCCATTATGATGAGCTACTTTTCTTCCACAGCACTAGGGGTATATATGTGGTAATAATAATCTCAATAGCAGTAACTGAGTACTAACAGGCATTGTCCTGACATGTATGCAAATCTCAAAACAATTCTATGAAATAAATACCCATTTTCAAATTAAGAAAAGTGAGCCACAATGAAGTCAGCTATAGTTAACTTTGGTACAACCATAACTTAAACAAAAAACAAAATTAGATCTAAAGTCTCTGCAGATGTGACGAAATATTCACAAAGCATAATAACTGTTCAAAATAGATACTTCAATTATAATAAAGTGAAAATCAAAACAAGCAACTATCCATCAGAGACACTGCAGGGGGTGAGGAGGGAGTAGGAGCAAGAAGAGCACAAGGGACTATGGTGATGGTACCCAGGTGAACTAGTGGCGGGAATTTCACGGGGGCTATAACTGAGATGAGAAAGCATACATTGTACAAAAACGAAGAATGATGTAAAATATATATATATAATAAAAAAATTTAAAAAAGCAATCAGGAAAAAAAAAAACCAAAATAGACACTACCTCATCTCTATAAAATTCTTACTTAAAAAAAAAAAGGCATCTGATAGAATGTTGTGTGGTCTAAGAGACTAAGCTGTTTTAAGTATCCACAACACATCATTTCTACATTCAGAAAATTATCTCTCAGCTCTCTTTACTTGAATATCTTAATCACCAAAGAAAATACATATTTGAAAAACCTAGAAACCTAAGAAATGCATTGATTATGAAAATTTACGTTTTTTAAAAGATTTATTTATTTATTTATTCATTCATTCATTTATTTATTTATACAAGAACTGGGGTACAGGCCAGATTTGTGGGAGAGTGAGAGGATTCACCAGAGAGAGAGCGGGGAACAGAACAGGCAGACTGACTGAAATACACTGCTGAGGGGAGCAGCAGGCGAGACAGGAGAGGTCTGCTCACCTTGTCCCCTGCCAGCCGGGATTGAACCTGCACTGCAGAGGTTGCAGACAGCTTTACAGTGCTGTGCTCAACCGCCTGCGCCACCAGGGGAGGCCCAATGAAAATTTATGTTTATGATTTCCTACTACATCAGTAACTTGGGGCTCTAGAGCCAAAATGAAAATCCTTGTTCCAACACTTGTTTTATGACTGGGCAAGTTATTTCTCTATGCCTCAGGTTTGGTAAAGTGGGCTGTCAACAAAGGTTTATATCTTGTATGTATTTATGTAAATACAGTGCTTGCTGTATACTAGGTGTGTTCTAAGCAGTCACATGCTTACTGACTCATGCAATATTTACAGCATCCTTCTGAGGTAGATAAGCACTATTACCCACTTTTTTCAGATGAGGCACCAAGAAGTAATTTGCCCTTGATCACATGGCTGGTAAGGGGCAGCTGCAGGATTTGAACTGAGACAGTGTGGCTCTCAATTCCATTCTCTTCATACTGAGGAATACACACCTCACAGTGTTACTATGAGGTTAAACTGAATTAACACATGTAAAATGCTTAGTCTGGTGAAGAGCAGGTAGTAAAGACTCAGCAAGCATTTGTTATTATACTCTTTCTTGGTCTTAGCTCAAAAAATGTGTCAGTCTTTTCGAGTTCACTACTGACTAGCAGTAGACAAGACTTGCGGCCAAACCTATTATTTCTTTAAAAACAAAAAAGCTATTATTTCTGATGAGGTACTTAATTCACATACGTGGTCCTCTTTAGTGGCAACCCTAGAAGCCAAGGCTTCTTGACTTCTAACTAAAAACTTTCGAGATAAAATCATAATAGAAAAACAGCGTTCTTGGAAAAGTTACACCTCTCTATCCACTATATATGGTCAGATACTTTTCAAATTAAAAATTATTCTGGGGCCTCCCTGGTGGCGCAAGGGGTTAAGCACCGCATTATGAAGCAATCCACAGCCTCTGCAGCACGAGTTCAATCCCAGGCCGACCAGGGAACTACCCACATGGCACAGCAGACCTCTCCTGTCTCACCCGCTACTCCCCTCAGCAGTGTATTTCAGTCAGTCTGCCTGTTCTGTTCCCCACTGTCTTTGGTGAATCCTCTCACCACCCCCCCCCCCCCGCATCTCTGGCCTGTACCCCAGTTCTCGTATGCATAAATAAATAAATCTTTTAAAAAAATTATCATTCTAGGCAAAAGAAGAGCAGGAAGAGGTAACTCGAACACCAAAACTTGAATCCCGACCCCCCAAAAAAAAAAAATGGAAATACTTTCAACCCAACTAGATCAAACCCCGCCAGGATGGGTAGGTCTCAACAGCGTTAGGGCTGAAATTTTAATTCCATCACCAATCTCTGCTTTTTACAATGCCACCAAACCAGGACTCCCTCCTCCAGGAGCTAGACCCCCTGCGTCACCTGGCTTCCCATCGCCCCAGGTAAATCTCTCCTAGGGATTTTGCTTCATTTTTTTTCTAATTACCTAACTTTGAGGCCTTTTTCCAGGCACCGGCCGATTAAAACACCATCTGATGAAGTCCTTGCCCAGCGCTATTTTCTTTCCCACAAACGCTCGAGAGCGGGGCCCCGTGTGGCCCCGAGGGGCGCGCCTGGTCACAAATGGCCAACTCTCGGCGGCGCCTCTACGCAGGCCCGGCACAGAAAATGCCCAACGAGCCCTTCTCAGAGCCGATTATTTCCACCGAACGCAGACCCGGCCTGGCTCTCAAGGACCTTCCTCAGAAAGGATGGCTCGGCCGGCCCATTCCCCCGGCTCCCCCGATAACGCCCACCTCGAACACACTCGAAGGGAAGCCGCCGAGTTTTCCTCACAAAGGGGGGGGGGTACCGCGGCCAGGGGCGCCCCTCGAGGGACGGGGGGACGCGGCCCCCGACCCTCCAAGCCCCAGGCCCACCGGGCCAGCCGTCCCCACGGTCCCCTCTCAGCCCCTCTTCACAGACGCCGGCCGACGGGATTCGGGTCCCTCGGACTCCACCACCCGCCCCGGCGGGCGCCCCCGTCTCTCCCCTCGGGCCCCGGCTCGGTTCCCCCCACCCGCGAGAAAACTCGGCCGACAACCGCGGTCAACCGCCCCTTCCCCCACAAATCTCGGCCCTTGGTTCCACCCATACCCTCCCCCACTCCAACTCGGTGTCCAAGCCGGCCCCTCACCCAAAGACATATCGATTTTGTCGAGGTTTTCATTGCTTCGGACTTTCGACGGAGGCGACGGGGCTGCCGCGGCTCCCATTAACCGGGTACCAAACCGGTTCATGGCTGGAGACTCGGCGCTGGAACAGTCAGCGGGGAAGGCCGGAGCCGAGGCCTGCCACCTCCCACTCGCGCGCGCAGGCTCGCTGCACCGAGGGAGCGCGCACGCGTGCTGGCGGCGTCCTCGCGCTCCCACCCGGGGCTGCGGGCGGGGGGAGGAGCGGCGAGGGCGGGGGGAGGGAGCGGTGGGGGCGGGGGGAGGGGCTACAGAGACGAGTGGCAGGCCAGAGCGGCCCCACGCGGGGACTAGCTCCTAGTGGCCCTTGCCGGACGGGAGGAAACATTGCACCCGCTGCTCTGGGCGCTTGCGAGGACAGCTGTTGTAGCAGTTCGCCTTGATGGCCCCTGAGCACATCAGAATCTCGGGCCTTAAGTGATATCACGTTCCTCCGTGTCCTCTGAGTCCCTCCTGCCACAGAAAAAGGTTCCCTAAACTTCTACGCACAAACCTTGCCCACCCCACCGCAATGCAGCCTCGGAGGCAGCGCCGACCCCTGCCAGAGTATATTGCAGCACCGCGTCCCAGCAACCCTCTCGCTCGGGCAGGCAAGCAACAACCCTGCAGCGTGAGGAGTCGCTGCGTCTGAACGCAAAACAGAGGCTGCAATGACAATTCTTACGTCACCTTACCAATGAAAGTACATGCTTACGTTTCTCGTATCTGTACCACTTCTCAACCGGCACTCTCACAACATTTTGCACAGCACTAGCGACCTTAATAGACCTCATCTTCTTTGGAAGAGGGGTAAGTATCTCTGCTTATTTGACTGCAATTTTCTCAGGTTCATTTATTTGCTTTGGGAATTGATAGGCGGATTCATTTTCTTACTAATCATCCCTACAGAAAACTTATTAATATTTGATGAATTCCTGCGTAATAACTTTTCTTTTCCTATTTACAAAACGTGGTAATTCCTCTTTACCTCATTCTCTTCCAAAGTAACTGCGCTTGTGTGGAAACATTCAGGTTATATCATCCTTAATACAACTGAGAACTGAGACATTTGCCCTAAAGAAAAAAACAGGGGCAGGTACTCTGTCCATTTAGAAATCTTTGCCACCTTCCTTGTCTCCTAAATTTTCTTTTTTAATTTCTAAAATTTTGCATAGAAATTAAACAGAGACCTAAAGTATCTCAAATCTCAGTAGCCTGTAGTTTATATTGTAATGTCAGAATATCATCAGTAATGTCGTTTTCAACTTCAACACCAGTGACATGTTTTATTATTTTTCTCTCGGAACCTAACATATTTCCAATTTTTATTAATAATAAAAGCTACATACCAGTTCCTCCTTCCACTTCTGAATGCAAAGGTTGCAGTGACAACAATAAAAGTACATGCAAATATTTCCCATATCTGAAGCATGAATGAAACCAAGAGCCATCACACAACTGTATATTTCTAACTGAAAGCAATGAACCATGAATTCTTTGTGAGCCTGGGTTATCTTATCTTAGAGAAATTTCTGGTTATTTATTAGATTTTTTGAAATATCATAAATAACTTCTAATGATTAAAGGTCAAAGGTCAAGTCATTTTTTTCCCAAAGACAAACTATGACCATATAAGAATAGTGAATCAGCCAAGGACAGAGCTGTAAAGGGGTACAAGAAACTTCAATGGCGGAGGACTCAATAAGACTCCAGAACAAAATACTGCACATCAAGGACAACAGCACTTATGCTTTTAGTATAATATGCCTAATATTACTTCTACCCCCTCTCCAGATTACTAAGAACTAGGATAAAAAAAAGGTTATAGAAATAAAAGTATTCAGTAGACCTAGATTTTATTGAGCAGTACCTTTCTCACTCCAGTCAATTCAATGTGTGAGCTTGGAAGCTGGGTCTCTTCAAAACAAGGAAGTAGTTATTCTAACAATATGTTAGAATTAGTTATTCCTAAGATTGCTTAGTGTGTTCTAACGTCCTCTAAACACAAGACATTTTTCTCAACACTATCCTTTTCTCACTAGAAATATCTTCTACAATCCTACAATCTCTGCTGAGTAACGTGCAGGGAGGGTCATTAGGGTAAGTTTATCATTTTATGGGAGAAAATTAATATATTTAGAGTTTGGATGCATTTTATACTTCAGGTACTTATAGGTCTAGAAATAAAAAATATAAAAATATGAAATATAAAATCCTCCATACCACCAATGTATAAAGATTCCCTTTTATCTTACTTTTCCTCCCCAAACTGAAACCCCAACCCAAATCTCCTTAGCTCTAAAGGGAAATGCCTCAATATTTCATTAAGCAATCTTCGCTTTTGTGTTTTAAATTTTCAGATTTCCCCAGGGATCTGAGAGTCTCAAAGCAATCATCCAGATACCAAAGGGGGGGGGGGGAAACAAGAGAAAAAGAGGCATTGTATGTAAGGATAGGTCAGTAACACACAAAATAATACAGGCTTCCCTCACAAAGAGAATAGTAGAAGGTTCCTATTTGCTATGTTTTGGTAGGTTATTTTGAAATCTGGGAATGCTCAAAATTTTTTTTTATCCAGTTTAATAGTATAGCATTCCCAGGCCAAAAAGTAACTTACCAGATCATACCAAATAGGAATTGTCCTACTTTCAGACAGCAGTGCAGGGTTGGGGGAGCGGTCCTAACCAAACTGCTTTCTGAGATACACACAGGAAAAGGGAAGATACAGATAAGCCAAGAAATCTGAACTGGGGCTTGTCCAAGAAGTCAGTCAGCCAGCTATGAGGGCTGGAGTTAAAAGGTCATCCCTGCAATTTTCTAGGCCATGTGGGGCAGCTATTGATTTAATCATATATTCATTAAGAACCAGACTTGTAATAAACCCTGGGGATAAAATGGTGAGCAAGATGGATGTGGTCCCTATTTTCACACAGCTTGCAAAGCAAAAAATGTTTTCTGAGCATCTACTCTGAATAAGGCACTGGTGCTAGACACTGGGCAATACAATCTTTGTATGGAGTACAGCAGTTCATCAGTTTGATCTAAGTCAAAATAAACACAGAATTTGAGTAGTTGCCCTCTTTAGAGGCTTGATTTCATCCAATGTAGATAAGGCAATATCTAGGATTACCTGATAAATTACAAGACCAATTAAATTTTAATTTCAAATAAACAATGAGCAATTTTTAAGTATGTTTGCTCCAGGTTTCAGATAAACATCAATTTTTTTAGCCACAGTGTGTTGCATGCAATATTTAAAATATATTTTTACAATATATTTTTACTCAACAGTTAACTGTATCTGAAATTCAGATTTCACTGGGAGTCATATTTTTATTTGCTAAATTTGGCAACGTTAACATACTTTTCTATTAACACTTTCTAGCTCTCTCCACAATGTGCGTGGAGTACCACCTTCTTTTCAAAGGTAAGCACAACTCTTATACATTTACCATTTCACTTTTATCAATTTGATATATCTTTTGTTTTCCTTTTTCAGCTTTATTGAGGTATAACGAATAGACACTAAAAGATATTTTAAATGCATGCAGTTTACACAGGTGTACAGTATATACACCTGGGAAAATACCACCATAATCAGGATTATAAATACAGTCATCAACCTCAAATTTTTTTTTTTTATAGTTAAAGAGCAGGTTTATTAGAAAAGAAAGGACTAAGGAGTAAAAGATACTTGCATAGACACAAGCAGGCAGGAAGAGCTGCCCCAAAAGGGACAGGTTTGCTAAGAAAGGCCTGCATGGTCGCAGGGAGGTGGCTTTGAGGAGAGCTGAAGCCCTGGCATGGTATAGGTCATGGGCAGGCAGGAAGGCTGCTGGCCTGAAGAGGGAGAGAGTTAGTGAAAGGAAGCACCTGCATAGTCACAGGTGGGCCAAAGAACTGCTGCCCAAACTCAAAATTTTTCTTGTGCTCTGTCCTTTATAATTCTTTCTCCCACGCACTACCTTATGTTTTCTGTCACTATAGATTAATGGGCATTTTCTAGAATTTGATAAAAATGAACTCCTACAGTATATACTTTTTTATCTGGATTATTTTACTCAGCATCATTGTTTCCACTCTGTGTGCCTCTTGTTCTGTGTCTTGCCTTATTGCACTGACTGGTGTCTCCAGTACCATGTTTAATAGGAGTGGTGAAAATGGACATCACCACTCATATTTTGCCTCACTCCCATATTAAGTATATTAGATTTTTTTAGATGCCCTTTACCAGGCATCTGCTACTGCTCATATTTTGTTATAACTTTCTCTTTTCATGAGTAACATTGGTATATAATTTCTTTCTCTTGTAATATCTTTGTCTGATTTTGCTATCAACTCTTGCTTTTCAGAAGAGGATTTTTAGATTTCATATCTTGATTTAATTTGTATTAATGCTGGTATTATACAAGATACTTATATGCACAGTAGTTTTTCTTTCCTGCTCAATTCTTCTCAATCTATCCACCTTGATACTGTTTCCTGCTGTAGTAGCTTTTTCTTTGCTGTTTTGCAATAGCTTCCTGTTCCTTTTTTGGATTGCCCTTTTCCTTCGTTCTAAACTTTTGCTGTTCTAGTCTTCTGCATTTTAATCTCAGGATTTATTCATTCATTTATTCAGTTTGAGTTCCTACTATGTGCAACAAACTGCTATAGTACAGTCATGTAGCAGAGAACTTGATGGGCAGCATTGCAGGCATAGCTGGAAGCATTAATATCTCCAAGTGCCTGAACACTTGTTTTCACTGACTAAGGAAACTGTTCTGGGTAGACAGGGGAACTTGAAGGGGAATTCTGCCGGGAATCAGGGGCTAGATTTTTAGCTCTCTCCTTATTAGGCTTTGTCTTCTCTGGGCAGGGCAGGCATCCTGGCAAGCATATCTTTATTTACATAAAGATTGTTTCTTTTTGAAAAGATATCCTCAGTTTGTACTAGATAAATCAGTAGTCTATGAAGGTTCTGAAGAGACAGGATTCCAGGGACATGCAGCCTTTAGACGTTCTTCCTTCTCCTCATGCTTCTCTCTTTGCTCCCTGACTTCCCTGGTCTTGCACAAAGGGGCCAGGTTGAACTTGGACTAATTCTCATTTGTACCTTTCCTTCAGTAGACAATCTTATCTCTTGACCAGCTTTATACAGCTAGAGTTGCACACTGCTGGGACAGAGGTGAACATTCTTCAAATGTGCTAAGGATTTGCTCAGTCCAGAAATAAGATTTTAAAAATTTCATTGTAATTTTCTAAAATTTTAATTTTTTAAAAAGTTTTATTTATTTATTTATACAAGCACTGGGTACAGTCAGAAGCGCGGGAGGGTGAGAGAAATCTTAATTTGTATGATTGCCCATGGGTGGCAATGTGTTTTCCTCCTGTATAACTGAATAAATGAACCAATAGAAATGCTTAAAGAAAGTGGAAATGTTGATGTAAGGACAAAATAGAAACCAATCAATTCAAATTAAGAAAAATCTTGAAGAGTTTTTAAAATGATTCCGTTTGATATGCACTACTCTAAGCTGTATTACAGAGAAAAAGAATTTCAGAAATCAATAAATTTGGAAAATTAGTGAACTGTTCATTAAAACTGGCCAAAGACTTCTAATAATGCTAGACTGTAGAAAAAACAGAAAGTAACTTAAAATACACCTAAAAGTTATCATTATAAGTGAAGAAATTTCCATATGAAACACTAAAATTTTGGTTATATTGATCAAAATGCAGTCATAAGAAAGCACAAACCACACTAAGATCCTTATCTATTTTTTTAAAACTTTTTTTTAAGCATTTGGGGAAAATATCAGAATATCTGAAGCTCTACATACTCATTTGGCAACATTCAAATATAGCTCAGGTGAAACTTCCCTTCATGGATGAAACATGGGATTTCCAATTCAGATAATTTTTGCCATTATCTTACAATTGGGTCACTTCACTCATTGGCAATACCTGCTTGCCCCCTTAAGATCCTTCCAATCTCTTTTCATATTTCTTCTTCCACCCTTACCACCAACTCTTCCCTCTCCACATTGTCAAAAGCTTTCTAACCAAGTTTGATCAAAGCACTTAATGATTTGCTTATCCTTGATTTGCATGCATGTTTCAGGATAAAACCCTTATGTTTTCAAGATAAAATCCAAAGTCCTAGAATTACACATCATTATCTGGTCCGCAGGGAACCCATACCATTCTGTCTCCCACCTCTTCCAAACTGATCACTATTTGAAACTGGCAGTTCCCCAATCAGCATGCTTCCTCTGTGTTTTCTCTCCACTGTCTCTTCCTAGCCAACTATCTTAAAAACTCTGACACAAAACCTCCAGAAAACCTTCCCCAAAATCTTTGTCTTCTTCTTCCTGTTTGATCCCAAAGCAACTGTGCTCTTCAGTTTGCGAGCATCTTCACTGATAAGCTTGAAACTCCCCTTACTCCCAACAAGTGTAGGTGTAGGTGGAGAGGTTAACTGTACTTTAATTAAAACCAGCGTTATCTCCTAATCTAGACCTTGACTAAGTCTGACTCAAAGGATGGCGGGGGACAGGCAAGTGCAAAGGCCCGCAAGCCAAGCACAGACTGGCCTTGGCAGGTGTTTCAGACCCGCGTGCCCGCCGCCAGGGTCCTTTTTCCGCAGCGAGCGCGTCCTGGGATTGGTTAGGGCGGTGCATGGCGGGAACGGCCGGGACTTCCCAGTGCTTGCTGGGAGTTGTAGTTCTCGGAGCCGGAAGTGGGGGTGGCTGGGCTAGAAGCTGCAGCTGAGGCAGCAGTCACCGCTGCTGCTGTCACCCGGGTGTAGTGCATCACCGTGATCCCACCCGCCGTGGGTGTCTCCTCCGTTCCCGGGAAGCGCCGGGAGCCCTGAGGGGCGAAGCGGCAGGAACCCTGTCTTAAAAGAAGAGGCGACGTCGTAGTCCCGGATGCGGCCGGAGGGCGCTGGAATGGAGCTCGGTGGCTGCCAGGAGCCCCTGCCCGAGGAGAGCAGGTGGGCTGGGAGGGGCTCGGGGAGTCGCGGGTAGAAGGGTGCGCCCAAGGAACGGAAGGCTTGGGCGGCTCGGAGAGCACGGGGAGAAGTGCCAGTTGCGACCTTCGGGCCACTGTCGTGGGCGACTTGTTTGGGAAGAATTTCGAAAGGGGGCTCGGACAGGGCGTGGATAGATCGAGGGAACGGGCTCAGTGGGGGTCAGGTGGAGGTGGTTGGTAGGTATATTGAGGGCGGGGGAGTAGAAGTGGGTCGAGGTTCAGATCCAAGGCTGCTGAGAGGAGGTGGCTCTGGGGAAGTTATGCACTGAGAGTATATAGGCCAGAGTGTATAGATATGGGTAGGGCACGAGGTTGCTGCCCGGACTGAAACCTGACGGTGAGAGCGAGATGGGCCAATACCAAGAAGGTTGATATAAGATTGTGAGAGCAAAGGTTAGGCATTGTGACTGACCTGTAAAGAAGCTTAGGCAGGGGATGAATGTGAAGAAAACAGAAAGAATGAGGGACGGTTGTTGAAAGTGCCCAATTGTATTGGCAGTGGTGTGGGGGTGGGGTCCTGCTAATGAGATTTGAAATTGTGTGTGTGCCCTTTGTCAATGCTGGATCCCTGTTAGAGTGTCACGACCTCTCTGTTATTTCCTTTCCCTTTTCAGAGCGTTCACTTCTTTTCCACAATGCATTCTAAGCGGCTTCACAATTTTATTTACGAGGAATTGTCACCAAGTTCATACCTTTTAGAAATTAGAGAATTTATGATTTTAAAAGCTTTGATAAATGGTGGCTTAGGCTGTAGGGTGCTTCCTGTATTTGGGGTTTGCTTCATTAATAACTCTAGTTTTAATCTCTTAAGAATCTGGTGTGATGACAGAATGGAGGAGGAATGTGGCCTAGGGGAGTCGTGCTTGACTTTGAAAAACATTGAGATATAGTGATGGCCTCAGAAGCAGCTGGGGTGTAGAGATTGGAAATAGAATAATCTGGGAAAATATCAGCAGGGGAAAATTCATGAGATGTTGTGCCTGAGTGAAGACCAGGCTGTTTTTAAGGGCAACTCCTTTTTTATGTGCACAGTTAGCCTGTGACTTACTGTATAAAACCTGGACTGACCAGACATTTAGAGTCCTGTGTGAGATCTGTTAATGATGTGTTCAGTGAAACTGAACCTCTTACTTCCCTTTTCCATGTTTCAGTTTCTGCTTATGTATATTTGGCTATTTATTTTTCCTCCAGATGTCTATGAAATGCTTCCTGTAAAAGTACCATATAAATTGTTAAAGAAATTTTAGTGTAATTTTTATTTTCCTCTACTAGTTTATGTGGGAAAGGTTGGGTCAGAAATTCAAGCTCAGATTTCCTCCTCATCTAGTTAAACATCTAGCTGAGCTAGTTATTCATTTAATGTATTTAACAAAGACCACATGCAAGGTACTGCTTAAAAGTCTTCCAAATATT